AGTTTCCAAAACGTACTTTAAAATTCTCAAACACTTTTACTGGCCAAAAATGAAGAAGGATGTGTCATCATATTGTAAGACTTGTCATTATTGCCAGGTTGCAGGGAAACCTAACGAAGTAATTCCCCCTGCCCCGCTTCACCCCATTCCGGTAGTTGCTCAACCTTTTAACCATATCTTAATTGACTGTGTCGGACCATTACCGAAAACCAAATGCGGTAATCAGTACTTACTGACGATCATGTGTGCTACAACCCGTTACCCAGAGGCTATTCCCCTTCGAAATCTGACCGCAAAAAGTGTGGTAAAAGCTCTGACTAATTGTTTTACTCAGTTTGGGATCCCGAATAAAGTACAGTCTGATCAAGGTGCAAACTTTACATCCGGTCTCTTTCAACAAGTCATGAATGAATTATCAATTAAGCAATATTTGTCCACTGCTTATCACCCTGAATCACAAGGAGCCTTAGAAAGATTTCATCAAACATTCAAATGTATGTTGAGGAAATATTGTGTAGAGGTGGAGAAAGACTGGGATGAAGGTGTTCATGTGTTACTGTTTGCTATCAGGGAAAGCAAACAAGAGTCTCTCGGGTTTTCTCCATTTGAATTGGTGTATGGCCATGAAGTTCGAGGTCCCTTAAAGCTATTAAAAGAGAGTTGGGTATCAGAGGAACATGTGATGCCATTATTAAAATATGTCCATACTTTTAAAGAGAGACTACTGCATGTTCGTGATTTTGCCATGAAAAATTTGTTGAATGCCCAAGGCGTCATGAAAGAACAATATGACAAGAAGGTTGAAAAAAGAGAATTTGAGCCAGGACAGTTAGTGTTACTGTTTCTCCCTCTTTCGAAAAATGCTTTACAGTCTAAGTATTTTGGTCCCTATCGCATTAAAGAAAGAAAAGGTGATGTAAATTACGTTATAGAGACCCCAGACCGTAGAAGGCAGGAACGTTTAGTTCATGTAAATCTAATTAAGCCTTATCACAATAGAGAAGCAATGGTAGAGCATAAAGTGTTAGCTGTAATCTCGGAAACAGAAGAGTTTTGTATAGATGACCCAGTAAAACTAAACAACAGTGACATTTTGACTAATCTTAACTCAAAATTACAGCATCTGTCATCTCGTCAATCTGAAGAGTTGGTGCTTCTCTTGAAGGAATTCCGGTGTGTGTGTAGTGATGTCCCGAGACCCTGCAGAGGTGTACAACACGATATAGTACTGATCGAGAACTCTGCACCCATAAAGCAGTCTCACTATCGGCTGAGCCCCGAGAAGCGAAAGAAGCTTCGGGAGGAGGTGGACTTCCTCCTTGCCAACGGACTTGCGGAGTCGAGCGACAGCGAGTGGGCTTCGCCTTGCCTGCTCGTCCCCAAAGCCGATGGTGGATTGCGTCTCTGCACGGACTACCGTAAAATCAACAAAGTGACTCGCTCTGATTCCTTTCCTCTACCGCGCTTGGATGATGTCATCGATGGTATCGGCAGAGCTCAGTTCGTAACAAAAATCGACTTGCTGAAGGGATACTACCAGGTGGAGCTGACGGAGAACGCGAGAAGAATAGCAGCTTTTGTCACCCCCGACGGTCTCTTCGAATACAAGGTCATGCCGTTTGGGTTGAGGAACGCCCCAGCAACTTTTCAGAGGTTGATTAATGGTGTCATTCGAGACTTGGAAGGTGTTCAAGCATACCTGGACGACCTCGTCATCACGTCGGATACTTGGGAAGAACACCTTGAGCGACTTCGAGCTTTACTCGCACGGCTCGCTGAGGCTGAGCTGACAATTAACCTGGCGAAGAGCGAGTTCGGGCATGCCAAGGTCATTTTCCTGGGTCACGTGGTTGGGGGAGGCACAGTGGCACCCGTCACTGCCAAAGTTGAGGCGATCTTGCAGTACCCGACTCCGACAGACCGCAAGTCTTTGCAACGCTTTCTTGGAATGGCTGGTTACTACAGGAGGTTCTGTCCGAATTTCGCTCACGTATCTGCCCCTCTAACAGACTTAATTAGCCCTAAGAAGCAATTTACTTGGACGTCAGAATGTCAAGAATCCTTTGAGAAAATACGAGCCATGCTTACGTCTCCTCCAGTTCTGACGTCTCCTGATTTTGAAAAACCATTCTGCCTGCACATCGACGCGAGTGACAGTGGAGCGGGAGCTGTGTTACTACAGGCTGGGCCCGACGGTGTACTTATGCCTGTCTGTTACTATTCGTGCAAGTTTAAAAAACACCAGAAAAGTTATTCGACTATTGAAAAAGAACTTCTCTCATTGTTAATGGCGCTAGAAAAGTTTCAAGTTTACTTGAATAGTGCGACACATCCAGTAACTGTTTACAGTGATCATAACCCTTTGAAGTTCTTAGATAAAATGAAAAACCGAAATCAAAGGTTAATGAGATGGTCTTTAATGATACAGCAATTCCATCTAGAAATAAAACATATAAAGGGGAAAGATAACGTCTTAGCTGATAGCCTTTCGAGACTATAG